CCTGCTCCCAGTGCCCATGGCCAGCCTGGGCTAGCTCTTTCTCCATGTGGTCTCTCCTTGTGAGACACTGTAATCTCTCCATTTATCTGCCTGTCTACATGGATGTCCAACACAGTCTCTCTACCTAAGCTCCTGGACATGCTGAGTCTGGACACACACGACACAATGTGGAAGAACGTTTTCCAAAGACTTAAACCAGGGGGGACAGGGCCAGCTCTGCACTGACCCTTGTGTGCCTGGGCTTGGAGAACAGACCCTTCGGACTACATCTCCTGTTGGAAATGTGTGGGTGACTCTAAATCCAAGAAGGTGGAAATGTGGAGAGAAAGCACAGGCCCCTCAGCACCCCCCTCCAAGCACACACATGATGGCGTCTTCCCACCAGCTCTCATCCCTGGAGGAAGAGCGCCCTTCTCAGAGCTGTGGGGTCCATGGAGTAAGGAGAGCGCTGGCCACCAGGGAAGAACCCCAGGGGAGGAAAGGACCTGGTCTCCTGCCCCGCTGGGAAGTGAGTCCATGGGGAAGGCCACTGCTCTGAACTGACCGGACCTGAGAGGGTTCTGTGTGAGACACCACCTCAGTCCTGACCGTGAACAGCCACGGGGCTGTGGACAGATTCATCCCTGAAGAGTCTGAGCAGAGCACAGAGACTGCTCTGAGGTGATGGGGAGCCACAGAAGGGGGGCCTGGCCGGACCTTGAGGGAGGGGGCAGTGAGGAGGCAAGGCTGTCTCTGAGGGGCTGTGGTCACCAGGTCACAGGATGCTGTGACTGGGCCTGGACACAAGAGGGCGGTCACGGTCTATTGTTAGAGGGTTTGGAAGTGATCAGAGCTGAGAGCCCCCACCTGGCCCTGCTTGCTGCCCTCTGCTCAGAGCTCACAGCTGGGACCTCCCACCCTCTGGGCCCACACAGCAACAACCCTTCCACTCCTGCCATCCTCAGGGAGAGGGCCCTGCACCAGGGCCATGTGGGACCAGCAAGCTGGGGGTGGAGGAGGTGTCTCATTTGCATTAATGGCCCCTCCCTCTCTGAGGGGTTAAAGAGGAGAAGGGAAAGCTTGGGGGAAGCTCTGCTTCAGCTGTGGGCCCAGAAGGCAGGACTCCGGGATCCTCCACCATGGCCTGGTCCCCTCTCCTGCTCACCCTCCTGGCTCACTGCACAGGTGACTAGATACGGGGCCAGGGGAAGGCCTGGGGAGACCATGGGGCTTGCTTCCTCCTCTTGTCTCTAGACTCAGAATCACCCTCTCTGTATCTCTCCCACCTCCAGGGTCCTGGGCCCAGTCTGTGCTGACTCAGCCATCCTCAGTGTCTGGGGCCCTGGGACAGAGGGTCACCATCTCCTGCGCTGGAAGCAGCGACAACATCGCTAGCAATTATGTGTACTGGTACCAACAGCTCCCAGAGAAAGCACCCAGACTTCTCATCTATGAAGATAAAAGACGACCCTCGGGGGTCTCTGATCGATTCTCTGGCTCCAAGTCTGGCAACTCAGCCTCGCTGACCATCTCAGGGCTCCAGGCTGAGGATGAGGCTCATTATCACTGTCTCTCCTATGATGACAACCTCGATTTTCACACAGTGCTCCAGGCCAGGGGGGAAGTGAGACAAGAACCTGCTGTTGAGTTCTCAGTTGTAGATTTTTTTTTAAATTATCTCTGTTAATTTTGTACTTTTCATTTTCTACTAACATTCTGAAGCATGACTTTTTTTTTTTTTGAACAGTGTAAGCCTATCATAATTATCATAAAACAAAAGCAAAATTCCCCTGCTGTCTGCCCAGCCCTGGGTCTTCTCTGTTCAGCTCCTACTTGTGCCCAATTCAGATGCTTCCTCTGTTTGGCCTAAGACTGGGATCTGAGCTCTCCTCAGTGAAATGTGTCCAGAGAAGCTGTTTTCCCTCTCACAAATATGCCCCAGTCCCGTCATTCTTGTTAGCACAGCGTGAATACTCCTAGCATCGAGTAGATTATACCTGGGTGGCAGGGGGGACTGCTCTGGGGACAGAGTCCAGGAGGGGTACATTGGTCTGGGGGCTTCTAGAACATGATACCACCGGCTGGGCGTCTTCACTGCCAGAGATCTCTTTCCTCATTGTTTTGGAG